GAGACTATAGGAACCACAAGTAGCCCAGCATTCAGAGAACGTAGTGTTCTAGTGGGGTAATAGGGTACTATGAGCTCTTTAAGATATGAAGGGGCCTGACCATAAAGAGCTTTATAGGTGAGGAGGAGGATTTTAAATTCTATTCTACATTTTACAGGGAGCCAATGCAGAGAAGCTAGTACAGGAGAGATGTGATCTCTTTTTCTAGTTCCTGTCAGTACTCGTGCTGCAGCGTTCTGAATTAATTGGAGCGTTTTAATGGACTTATTGGGGCAACCTGATAATAAAGAGTTGCAGTAATCCAGCCTTGAAGTAACAAATGCATGGATTAGTTTTTCTGCATCTGTCTGTGATAGTATGTGTCTAATTTTTCTAATATTACGTAAATGAAAGAAGGCAGTCCTAGAGGTCTGCTTTATGTGGGAGTTAAATGACAAATCCTGATCAAAGATAACTCCAAGATTCCTGACAGTGGTGCTAGAGGCCAAGTTAATGCCATCTAGACTAACTATATCTTTAGACAGTGAGTCTCTAAGGTTTTTGGGGCCAAGAACAAGAATTTCGTTTTTTTTTCTGAGTTTAACATCAGAAAATTGCAGCCCCTTCCAGGATTTTATGTCCTTAAGACATGTTTGTAATTTAGATAATTGATTAATTTCATTGGGCTTGATTGATAGATATAACTGCGTATCATCTGCATAACAGTGAAAGTTAATGGAGTGATTCCTAATAATGTTGCCTAAAGGGAGCATATATAAAGTAAATAGTATTGGTCCAAGTACAGAACCTTGTGGAACTCCATGACTAACTATAGTATTTATTGAAGATTCATCGTTAACATGTACAAACTGCGAGCGATCTGATAAATATGACTTAAACCAGCTTAGTGCGGTTCCTTTAATGCCAATTTGATGCTCAAGTCTCTGTAAAAGAATATTATGGTCAATGGTGTCAAATGCAGCACTAAGATCTAATAATACAAGTACAGTTCAAAAGAAGCATTTTCTTTCTCCAGCTCCACTGCTTTGTTAGTTTTCATAAACATTGATTATGCTGTGCCAGTGTCATGTTTTTCTCTTCTACCCCAGTGTCTGAGGCTCCAGAGGATAAGAAAGCAGAGAAGGTGTACCTGTACACCCACCTGAAGCAGCAGCCCATCTGGTAAATTGAAAATCTGTCCACAAAGAACATCTGTCCTTGTTAAGAAGCTGATTATGTGGTCATTATATCTCTCAAACAAGACTGTCTACAGAGACTAAGGAAGAATTCATTCAATGATTCAGTAATTTTGGTTAAAAAAAAAATGTGGTAAAAACATCATATTGAGATTATTCTGAGAGAGATTGCGATATTATTCTGGATTAGTGTGTGAATTATAATTTTTCCATCACAAATTAGATTTTACCTGAAAAAACTATTAAAATCATGATCATTTTTGGGGTCTGTACCAAACAAACGTTTTCTTAAATCTGGAGCACAAAATTTGTAGGCCAGGGTATCTCTTCAGAACTACAGTACTTCATTATAATGTCATTTGTTACATTTTACCTTTATCAAACAAATTGCAGCTTCTGCGGTTTGCATCTTGCAATTTTGATAATATTTTGATTAATTGTGCAGCCCTGGTAAAAGATGATTAAAATTAAGGAAAATGGACTGGACTTCATAATGGAATACTCCAGCGAAAATCTACCTTTTGAGTATTAAATACACGGTGGCTTTCTCCTTCACGCTCGACTGCAGTCTTTGTCAACTTGAATTTCCAGCAGCTGCAATGGATATCAGTGGTGACCCCAAAAAACATCAAAACATTCATAAAAACCTCTCAATTCACTCCTGCAGCATAATCAACGTCTGTATGCTTAGTATTGTGATTGACCTGCTATAGTTGTTAGTGCTCCTAATGGCATTTGCAAGAATCCACTGGGTCTGAACGATAACAACCACTTTGGTACCCTTGGAATCAGACTCAACAATAAGTTATCAACCCAAAGCGTCTTTCCATCTTCCTCAGCTCTGATTGGTTGTTTTCGTTCAGGCCCGGTGGATTCTTGTAAATTCCATTAGGAGCACTAGGAGGAGCCAGAGGAACCAGATTGTTTCACAGATTATCTGTCTCATGTACTACTGTCAGGTTATAGTGAAAGTTTCAGCAGATATGAAAAGGGAGTCAAAGTAGCTCAAAACTGTACTTGTGTACAGCACTTGAGTAAACGTACTTCATTACACTCTACCACTGGTTATTCTAAAGTCTCAGATATTCATTTTTACTGCAAATATATATATATATATATATATATATATAATTGGCATCTGTATCGATTACTAATAATTGGCATCTGTATTCGCCCTGACAAAAACATATCAGTCGTTCCTTAATTTGTAGCCCCATCCCAAGTGGCAGGAATGGTCAGGTCAGGCAGGAAACATATTAAATGTCATCCATTCTCTCTCTGTCAGGCATACACTACGATTTTGGAATGCTGCGTTTTTTGATGCCGTCCACTGTGAAAGGAAGAAAAGATCGCCAACCACAAGGTGAGTCTAGATGGGACTCTGGACAGATAAGTAAAACTGTTTAGTTACATAATAAAGTGGTGGATTGTGGGGAAAATGTAGTATTTTTTCAAACATAAGTGGGATGTGTGTGTTCCTGTGTCACTTTATCTGTCTGATGAAGTTTAAATAAAGATTGGAGATCCTGTAGGGATGCACTGCAACACCAGTATCTAAAGAGAAATCTCTGCTGTTCCGAATGCCTCAGCCTTAACCACTACTGCTGATAATCTCCTGATGCTTCTCTCCTCCTTCCTCTCTTCTCTTCTCTTCCTGTCTATAAACTGTTCTTCTTTCTGCATGTTGACTTTAACCCTTTGTCTCCTTGTGCCTTGCTGCCGGGCAGGGGAACGCAGGATGAAGAGAAAGACGAGAGGTCTGTTCTTCCATTTGTCTGCAGCCCTAAAATAGGAAAAAACTAGTCAAACTAGGAGAAAAATCAAAGATCAATCAAGGAAGATAGAAGAAAAAGGGCTCAGCGTAGTGGGTGTTTTGTAATTATGGCTAAATCTGAATGTAACAGAGAGCTCGCAAAAAAAGGCTATTGTGATATTCTGTTCGGTGATAAGAAAAACAGCAATTCCTGACAAGAATTTGTTATGCGACGTTTCCCATTTTCTGTATCACAGACACCAACAGCTAACTGCTAACTCATTAGCTTACTTAAAGCAACACTATGTTAGATCTGTACACCTGCATTTCTTTAATTACAAAACTTATGATCTAGCAAATCAACGACTTTGCTAACACAGCCAAACATCGAGCAAGTGCCACAACACAAGACATTGCAAGCCAGCTATTATAACTGAGTATAGTCCAACAGCAACAAGTGTCCTGGAAAACCTGGAGACTGGTAATTTAGAGACTGGTTTTCCAAGCAAACACCTGGATATAATAATAATAATATTCTATGTTGTCCTGGATATTTTTTATGGTATTTTGGCCCATCACTCAGATCACCAGTGTAAACCTAGGTGTGTATTTTGTTTAAAACTCGACTGTTGGTAGGATAGACTGTATGACACTTAAAAGCAGGTCTGTCAGTGGCAATGACTTGCAGTGATCTTTTCAGCATCATCTTATTTTTTTCACAGCTGCAATTTACAGTTGTTGATAAATATATGCGCAGTGATGTTAATTGTATGTGCAACAAACACTTATTTTCTGGCTGTGTGTGGCCAAATTAATGTTAGAGGAAAATAAAACATAGTCAGTTTGCCTGAAAGTGCAGCTTATTTGACCATTTGTAAGCAAGTCCTGTATTGTCAAGAAAAACTGCTGGAAAATGTCATGGAAAGGTCACAAAGCTGTCCAATGACTAAAAGTCAGTCCTACATTTACTCTTGTCCAGCAGCTTTCTTTTTCTCTTCTTAGCTTCCTCCTTCATCCTCTTAGCCTCTGCTATTAGCTATGTCCAAAGAAGCTGTTGAGCCCAGGTACATTGCCTGTGTCAAAATGATGTTGAAGCTGTTATTTTGAGGTAGAAAAGTTACATAATGTTGCTTTAAGAAGAAGCGAGGACACAGCAGAGCTCATATTCTGAAAAGCCAAAACCCCCAGCTCGGAAATAAAAGTATTCGTAGGCCTGTGTGCCACCAGAATAATTCCAGGCTTTTACAAGGTTTTAATGATAATTAACTAATAAATTGTGCCATGGAGCCATGTTTATACCATTTATTGTTAATTCTTGCTCATTCATGTGGATACACTTTCACATGCTTTGTCATGTCAGGGGCAGGATGCACAGTGGTTTCAGACTTTCCACTGCTTCACAGTTGGCTGTACCAAGAAATGTAGCAATGCGCCGACAAAGGCAGTGACAAAAACTATTTTGAAACATGGATGTAAACAGTGCAGGTTAAAAAAAAAAAAGATGCAGATGTTTTACGGGGAAGAAATATGTTTAAAAAATGTTTTAGGCATCAAGGATACACACCATGTGAAAATGGGAAGCAATCTTTAAATGAAAGCCATCCTGAAATGGAAACTGTAAATGCTACAGCAGGAAACAAGTTCTACGTTTCAAACACATTTCAGTGTGATTAGACATCTATGATTATATATAACAATTAAAACTTGAACTCCAAATGAATTGCCTGATGTAATGCAATACAATATCAAAATCTAATTTAAAGTCTTAGTAATTTAGTAATTCAATTTTAAAATGTAATTATTCATTAATTATTTAAAGACAGAATCAAGAATTTAAAGTGTTAATTAGCAAATTGTGGTTTTATGGTACTTGTACTGTTTATATACCTGTATGTATTAATTAATTATTTAATTAATTAATTAAATTGCCTTTAAATGATCCATTAATTAATTAATGGCAATTTTGATTAACCAGTTGTTAAGTTTCAAAAATGTATCAGTGTATTAATTCAGTGGTTTTCTGTGAAGGAAACTTCATGAAATTGCATTGTTCTATAGTTTAGATAGTACGATAGTAGTGTGTGATTGTTAGAAAATAGAAAATAAATAATACAGACAGAAAAAAGTGTAAAAAGATACCAACATTCTGAGTAAATCTCATCTCTGATCAGTCACAGGAAATAATCTGCTCAAAACTCATCCAAATCACTTACTTGTTCACTCAGTTATCTTGTTCTCTATGTGGGTTCATTGTACAGTTTATCAGTTGTACTGTTATTGTTGATTATAATAGGAAACATCTGTTTAATATGTCACATAGGAAAAGGCTTCCTTAAGGTAAAAACCTGGGAAACACTGTATTAATTGATTCAAATTAAACATGAAACAAGTCTGTAATTACTCCGGTGGCACACTCGATTGTGGCCAAGATGGAGGATCTCCAATATGACCACAAGACACATTCTCCTCATCAGCTGTGATTGGTGTGAGAGCGAGAATCCAAGTTAAACAGAAGGAGCACAGTGAAAGGTAGTGAAAAGATGAGGGAGATATTGAGTGATCTGATGACATACTGAGCTCTGTGTTTTTTCCTGTGGTGAAGGGTGAGGCTCAAGGTCTGCATGTCGCCCGTGGTCTAATTTGCAGTTTGTCAGCTGTGCTCCAGTGAACAGTGATAGGATAGTCTCTAATGGTAAATCCCCAGACTGGACGACAGGAGTCCTAGTGTAAGACTCTGTTGTGTATAAATTAAAAGATATAATCTTCTTAATCACAGCATGACAATAATGTCCACATCACTAGAATTATAAATCGGTGGTGGTTTACTGGTAATTATAATGGGATTACTGTGTGTGTGGTTTACTGTGTTTGATTAATTGCTTTTTAGAGTGTACCCCATTTTGTCGTTACAGCTTTATATGAGTTATTTTCTGGATTCAGTTAGGATATTTTTGTGCCCTTTTCATCTTTCTTTATTTGGCTTCTGTTGGCATGTTGTTGTGGTTGTCTAATAGGTGATGTGATTCACTCAGGTATTCTGCCATGCTGCTGTTGAAATGATTTTTGTGCCCATATTTGATGAATAAAGGCATCACACCCACAGTTAATATCCTGAATGTGCAAAGAGGCTTTGTAAAATGTCTGGGATGGTATTTATATCTCAAGGAGGAGACACTGCAGTCTGTAGGTGTTTTCTCTCACAGCTCTCTGCATGTTCACACCATTCATCTCTTCGCATGTGATATTTTTTTATCTCCCTCTATCCGTATGTTACCTTTGCTTCTCTTTGTTACCAGCATTGCACACTTCTATGTTTCTACTGCAGATTAATTGCAGGGATGCTGTGCATGCCCTAACTCTAGATATCCACTGTAAAATAAATGAACACAGAAATTGTTGATACACTACACTGCAGTTTTGGTCAACTGAAGATTGTAGATGTGTTGTTTTTCATTGCTGCCAATACCTTACCAAATATACAATAGGTAATGTGATGGCATGTTGAGATATTCAGTAGAGTAAATATTGTAGAGCCAAAAACATCAGTTATATTCTTTGTAACACAGTCAACATAGCTTTCTAATATCACTGTTTATTTATTTTTTTCAGTGTGTAAGTGTTCTCTCATTTTTGGACAAAATAGTCAAATGACCCCAGTCCTTTATTTATGTTACAATATGTTGTTGTAAATCTTTTGGCCACCTAGGGGGCAGCACTGACCAAACTGATATTATCATAATTTTGCCGCATAATTTTCACATGCAGCTGACTCAGAGCAACATTAGCTTTTATTTTAACAGGATTAGTCAATTAATTTTCAACTATTCAGTCAGTAAAGAAAGCGGGATAAACAAAAACAGATCTGCAAATTGCATGATTTGATGACAGAATGAGCCCTGGCATGCACCAAAGATTACAGGCTAATTATATCCAACAATCTGAGAGTCACCAGAGAGAGAGTCTATTGATGGCTGGTTTTAAAGAAGATTCACTGGGTTAAATAAAAATGGAATACTGGTTATTACTGTCTTCCTACTTTATAATTTCATAAATGTGTGTGGTCGTAGTCCATATCGTAGCAAATGTAAAGTAGCATTTGGTGGCACAAGTAGCCACAACCATCGTACAGGATGGGATGTTGTCCATTAAAGCTGCAGTAGATAACTTTATTTGATACTTTCAATTTTCAATAAACTTTCACTATATCCTGACAGTAGCACATGAGACAGATAATCTGTGAAACAATCAGGTTCCTCTGGCTCCTCCTAGTGCTCCTAATAGTATTTGCAAGAATCCACATCAATCAACCATCTTTCTCTGATATTTTTAGAAAAGTCACCTACTTCAGCTTTAAGGTTTTTTTGTTTTTTTTTAAATTGTATTTTTATTGAGCACTGATAGAACTGGGTATGTACATAGATACAACATTCACAAAAGAACTTTGGACCAATGCTCACATCATTATTTTGTATGAATTATTGCCCCCCCAGAACACATAGGACACCCATCCAGAAAGTAGAAAGGATAATAATAGTGTAATAATAATAATAATAATAATAATAATAATAATAATAATAATAACAATAATGATGATAATGATACTAAAAAAGGTAATAATTAAAAAAAATATATAATAAAAATAAAAAAAACACTCATACAAACATAGGCTCACCATTGTTGAAGTTGTGTACTACAGACTATAGTTCTCATGGATGAATAACACAACTGTAAATGCTAGAAGGCTGCTAAGTGGGCACAGTCTTAAGTTTACTCAAGTATTTCAGCACTGGATCCCAGACAGAAAATAATTTGTCCCTGGACCCCCTGAGAGTGTATTTTATTTTCTCTAGCTTTAAGTTTTTTGATAGAAATTTCACCTGCAAATCTCACCAAACGTTCTCCTTCTGATATGTTTTATTGTGAGGCTAGGTATTGTATGCATGTATGTACTATAAATGTTTTATATTCCAGCATCAATAATACCACATTTTTGTTAATGTCCAAGACAGTCCAGGACAGCAAAGGAAAGTACTTCAGTCATGTCATACCTGTCCTCAGTGATGTTTGGCAAAAATATATAATACAGCAACATCTTCTCTTTAGCCAGTTTATTCTGACAGGCCTTATGACTTCAGAGGTGTTGGTGAATTCAAGCATGGAAACATTTTCCAGTCAAATATTTGTTTTACAGTACTACACAATACAAGTCTACGCTTTTCATGTGCTTGTTAACAATGATGATTCTTTGTGAATGAATCATTTGTTATTTTTATTCCTTTGCTGATGGCTGGTCAATGTGTTTCTTGCCCTTTGATATTGTTTTATGTGTTTTATGTGTAATGGAGTCCCTCTTTTTGCATCCCATTGCACAATGAGCAGTAACAGGGATGGATGTCAGGGTGGATTACACAATAGAGATGTTTTTACCCTCAAAAAGCTCCCAAACTAACATTTTCCAACATTAATAAAGATTGATTTGGAACCCAGTGCTTCAGAAAGCCAGCCTGACATTGAGGGCTAATATTTGTTGACACCCACCCCTGGCCTGTGTCTGTAGAGAAGCTGAAGGTCAAACTGAGACTTTGGAATTAGAGCCTGACTCTGACTGTCCCTGTGCTGCAGGGAGAAGTGGTGTCACATGACCCAGGAGGAGAGGGACGACAGCTCCAAAATCGATGAGAACATCGCCTTCGGCCAACTTGGGTGAGGAAGCCGTCACAGTAGTGTCTATCAACTAACGCAATGCAATAAGACACATAGGCTACGTTCACACTGCAGGCAAAAGTAGCCCAAATCTGTCTCTTTCTTCCAAATCCAAATCTTGTCTTTTTTTGCTGATACGTGTATGTATGAGTTAATAGAGAATCAGATCATTTCCTTTTCTGATTTGGGTGACTTTCATATATGGTTCAAACTTTCCAAATTATTATTACTTATTATTATTATTATTATTATTATTATTATTATTATTATTATTATTATTCCTATTATTAAAAATATACTCAAACTAGGGCTGCATAATTAAGTAAAATCGCTATATGGCCAAGTGCAATATCCAATGGCCAATCCAGTTTGTTTGATAAAAGGTAAAATGTGACAGAGATCAATATAATGAAGTACTGTAGTTCTGCAGAGATGCCCTGGTCTACAAAGCTAGTTATGTAAAAAAAAACATGGTTGTTTAGAACAACAGACTTCAACAAATGTTACATCATTTTAATAGTTTTTGTCAAAATAATCATGATGGGACTTTTCATACAGCCCTAATTCAAACTCAGCATTGACATTTTCAAAACGGCACACTCTGCCCTTTGATGTTTAAACACAGTTATCCAAGTTATCCATATCTAAAAACAAACCCATCTATGATACAATTTCCCAACTTATTTAATTACTTAATTCAGCTAACTAATTTTAGACTGCCAAGCATAATAGGAGCAGTTAGCTGCTAGTATTCTCCGAGGTGTGTTCCAATGAGTGACACAGTGGCTGGAAATGTATTAAAACGACCAAATCACTGTTGTCCTTGAAAATTTGGTTTGCATTTTAGCCTTTGTTGCAGCCAAATTAATGCTACAGTGAGAGGAAAATTGCAGACAGTTTAGACAGCGTTCGATTATAAATATATAGATCGAACATAAAGCAGAATGTAAACCTAAAAGTCAATAATAAGTCTTATTAAAAACTAAAGTTATTATTAATGGTCCACACTGCGATGCTTTTGATACTTTCTGAGATATCAAGGTTTTTGTCTAGTTTTTTAGTAAATAGTAAAGAATAGTGTGCTTCTGTGTATTTTCAGGACATTCACTCACAACATGCTGGCGTTTGGGCTCAGTAAGAAGCTCTGCAATGACTTCCTGAAGAAACAGGCAGTGATTGGGAACCTGAATGAAGGTAAAGCACTAAAGGAATAATTCAACTTTAAACACTAGAACAGTGTCTGCTCTCGAACAGGGAGAGCTTATCGTTGTCAAGCCATGTCTCGGCTGATAGAAAAGGAAACTAATCGATAACCAGCTATCGTCGCACAATGTATGCCGGTTAGATTTGTGTCCAACTGGATCCCGACAACGATAACCTCACAAGATCGAGGCGACCGCAGTTTATTTATATATCTGAACGTGATCTAAAAACTACAGGTAGCCTACAGATGATCCAACAGAATGTACATATTTCTGTGACTTTCTGTATATTCTTTGAAGGCCACAACTGTCCAACTGGCCTGCAGCATTTTATCCCCTTCTCCTGCTGCTGCTGCCTGATCTCATCCACTTTCCAGACCAGGCACAGTTCATCTCGAACGAGCCTATCAGCAGCAGTTGTTTATAGCTGCAGATATGTAGACACGTTGATGTCGCCACCTGCTGACACAGGAAGTAAAATTTGCTTCAATCTGAAAACATTTGCCATCTGCTGGCAATGACTTGCTTGGAACATGCTGCAGAAGAACAAGAACTTCACGAATTGGCAGATAGGTTTCCAAATTCAAAGCTCATTCTTGGCAACTCCCAATAGCAGCAGTAGGTAGTTTATAAATTACAATAAAACCCAGAAATCCTGTAAGATCTCACACACAATACACTCACTTTATTCATCCTGGCTGGTTTCCAGTTTTTTATATATTGACATTTTAATTAGTGGACAGAGCTTCCAGGTCTGTGCAGTGAAGCTGACACCATAGTATTTTAAACCTGCATTCTTTCTAGTGGCCAACAGGGGGCAGCTCCATGAGCTGCAAAAAAAGCATGCAGTCTTCAGAGAAATTAGCCTACTTCTGACTTGATTTATGAGCTCAGTAAACAGTTTCCCAATGAGTTTATGGTCTCAGTCTCTAGATTCAGTCTTCTTCCATACAGCTGGATCTCCGCCAGGTCTGTCTCCCGCATTGTTGACAAGTGTGCCAGCTCCAGCTACCTAATTTGCACACTCGGATCCGATCGCAGTGCAGATACAAACTGCATGTCACTACCAGGTGGAAAATGGGGTCTTAGTCTTGTTACATAAAACCCTAATGCAGCTTCAGAACAATATGTGTCTGTGTTTCACCCCTTTGCAGAACAGTACAAGTTGCTGAGTGACCACATAGAGAAAATGGCAGCAGAGTGAGTTTGAGGACAGCAGGCTGCATTTCAAATTTCCACACAACAGACTGACAGCACACAAACAGCAGCGATTTCTTTTCAACTCAACATCACAGTGACCAACTCTCCGCCTGACTGCGTTTGTGTGGTGCGCTGCTGAAAACATCACCCGCTGTACTGAATTGTGCCATATTGTAGCAAACCCTGTTTATCCAACTTAGTGATAGTGCTCCTGTATCAGCAATAATACAGTGCCATCAGCTGGTGCATACTTTAACACCTCTGTTTGTGACCTGCTTACAAAGACTAGCAGCATAGCAACCATCCAGTATAAACCGCCTCAGTGTCACTCTGGATTTATACTTCTTATTATATACATTGTGTGTAGATTATATATCCTCTATGCTGTTTTACTCTGTGTTTCCTTGGTAACCATATTTATTATATGTTGGTTCGTTGTTGAAACTGTGCTGAGTATCGTCCTGCCTTGTTACATTTTCTGTAAATGTCAATATACAGTTCAAACCAGACCTGGATACAGTGTAATAGTACATGGCAATAATAACTCTACCCTATTCAGGTGGGTCAGGTCAGTTTTCAATCACAAAAACTTTTTCATTTAATCATGGGTTTTTAAAATGGCAAAAACAGCATCCCTCCATACCTCTTCTTCAAGGAAAAGTTCAATATTTAGAGAAAAACATGTTCTTGTTGAGTTATACAAGAACATTATACCACTCTCACGTCTGTACATGAAGCTACAGCAAGAAAACAGTTAGCTTAGCTTAGCATAAAGCCTGGAACAAAGGGAAACTGCTAGCCTGGATCCATCCAAAGGAAACAAAATCCATCTAGCGGCACCTCTAAAGCTCGACAATTAACACATGTTTTGTTTGTTTAATCCATAAAAAAGGCAAAAATTAGATTTTTGGCAGACAAAGGACATCCCTAAAATCCTTCATCCGGTTCATACGTCATTAACAGGCGACCGGTGAAACACAGCGTTACCTGAATGAAGTGACAGAATTCTCTGAGTTTGAACATTGTTGGAAACATTTGGGATAATGTCAAGTACACAACTCAACTACATATAGAACCCAGAGCTAGAGTTTATACACTGTTTATTGATTATAGATTATTGATTGAATCAACTACATATAGAACATAGAGCTAGAGTTTATACACTGTTTAATGATTATAGATTATTGATTGAATCAACTACATATAGAACATAGAGCTAGAGTTTATACACTGTTTATTGATTATAGATTATTGATTGAATCAGCTACATATAGAACATAGAGCTAGAGTTTATACACTGTTTAATGATTATAGATTATTGATTGAATCAACTACATATAGAACATAGAGCTAGAGTGGAAATAATGTGGAAATGTTATAAATTATAGTTTTAATTAGTGAGCTTTATAGGTCTTTCTTGGTGGACAGTTTTCCCCTGCTTTCAGTCTTGAGCTGCTGGTGGTAGCTTTATATAAAACAGATGATGGTATCAATCCTTTTGTTGAACTCTGGGCAAGAAAGGAAGCAGAAAGTCTTCCTTTTGCATAGTTACTCAGAGAAATGTTACTACCACTTTTACTCTGCTGCACATTTCTAATCTGGTGGCATTCATTTAATGTTTTTTTAAATTAGAAACTTTATTATACCCTTGGGATCATTAGAGACTCCATCCAAAGTGCCTTCCATGAAAGTTAATGTCCTTGTCTTTATCGTCTGATGCTACCCTCGATTGCCAGACCAAACGCTAATGCAGAGCCTGCAGAGATCACTCTTTCACTTATTCCCTGATATATGAACAACGGCTGCATGCAAATAAAGCTCAGCATATTGCTATCTGTGTTTTCAGTGACCTAAGTAGTAGTTTTATTTCCATACTCTTTCCTGTCCTGCTGCATGTGTATCTATGTAGCACACGCAAACAGCATCAAGCAAATGTAAGATGAGTGACTGAAGTGTGAGGTGGCATTCCCTTACTGTATTACTTCATCCTGCCACTGCGGGGCAGCATTGTGTCTTCATTCAAAGCACTTCTCAATGAGAGATTCCCAAAAATCCCTCTTAGCTGTTTCAAGACTATATCAATGTGTGCTTTTTAAATATTGAAATATAGTTATCTACATTTGATGCACCTTCTGACAGGTTGAATCCCATTTCAGATTGAGAATCTGTTGTTAATATATTGTGTTGATGAAGTCATTTTGTAAATACTGTACATGTTTTTCTGTGTGTTGTAAGAATTGATCATGTGCTGCTGTTTAAGTGTAAATGTATAAACAATAGATGTAATAGTGCATTGTGACCATTGTTTCAATGAGGAACATGTCTAACTGTAGTTTAATACCCTGAAGTGCCCCCATACATCCCACCTCTGTTAGATGTGGACATTCAAAGTATTTGCACATAGTGTGCAATAATCTCTGATGTAAATGTAAATCATTCCTTTTGAGCTACATGCACTATAATCATACAATTCATATATGAAGCCTTGCAAACCTCCGTCCACTTAACTGTTAAATCTCTGACGTGTCCCCTTGCATGTGCTCCAAGACTATTTCTTACCCTTTGAAACATCTGGCAGAATGGCTAAATGCCTTTGATTCTGTACACTTGTGATTTCCTGATGTGACCTTTGACCATGTTGCAACAAGTATTGACCTGTATATTGTACTTGTTAGTTAGCTCAGCATGAGCCTTTTGCACTACGTTTAGCCTCAACATCCCTGCACACCCACTACATATCTTCCTTTGAGTAATGTTACATTGATGCCTTCTATATTCTTTCTGCATGGCCAGTGCTCTCTCTCTCTCTCTCTCTCTCTCTCTCTCTCTCTCTCTCTCTCTCTCTCTCTCTCTCTCTCTCTCTCTCTCTCTCTCTCTCTCTCTCTCTCTCCATTGAGCATATCTGTTGTGAAATGTTGACAGTAGTTGTCCTTTGTTACCTGGATGACCTGATATTGACTTGTGTGAAGTACCAAAGTACTACATTGTGTTTTTGTGGTATTTGGCTCCTGATTGTGTTAGTGATAAGAATGGTCTTCCCACAGTTGCTGATTCATTTTGGGGTTGAATGCTAACATTCTAGCATACACAGTGTTGAATGATAGCAGCTAGCTACTTACAGGCAGAGGCTGAGTCAAACTTGAGTCACAAATTCAATTACTTAAGACTCGACAAAATTAAATGAGACTTTCAACTCTACTTGGACTTTAACACCAATAAGTCATGACTTCACTTGAGCCTTTTGACTTGAAAACCTTCCCCCAAGCCCATGTTGTTTATCAGCATCCAGTCAAGTTACAGGAGAGAACCATGAAGAACTAATGTTACGTTACTGAGTGCCAGTTGGAAACAATGATGCCAAAGAAAATGGCATTACATTTGGTGAAGAGCGCATTCTGACTTGTTTAGGACACGAAACTTAAAGTTTAGGACTTGGGACTTGCCAGTCTTGATTTGGGACTCATTTGTTGGATTAACACAGACTCCAGTCTCTCTTCTTTTTGTTCTTCCACAGAAAATAACAATGGAAAAGACAAACAGTGCATGTCAATTTTATAAACTGCCATTGACTGAAAATTGTTGAAACTACCTATCATTTAGCTTTAGAGTGGCTACAAGCTTCCATTTTCTCACTCAGTTGTAATTTTACTACCACATTAAAAAACAGTACTACTACATGCTAGCTTATCCTAGCATTGGCCTGTTTTAGCTGATGTGACTGTACATTTCCAGAGTATGTGATGAGGTGCTAAATGTTACCTGGGTAGCAAGCAAATGACAGTGAACTGCAAAGTTGTGCAGAATTTAGTCTGTATGCTTTAATGTTAGCTAGCATGAAGCCCATGATCTACTGGGAACACAACACAAGGTTATTATCACAGTGTACGTTGTCATTACTACAAAGCTGACTGATAAAACCTGAAGGACTCTTCAACGTAACAGTTCCTGTGTTACCTGCTGTGTGTACAGACTGAGCGTGTGTCGAACAGAGATGTTGGCTATTTTATTGTGCTGTGCTGTTCTATGCGTGCATTTTCTTGGACATGTCATAATGTTGATTCAAGTTGCTGGTACTGTAATAAATGTATTTTTTGATGTCACTTTTTGTGAGTTCTTCTTGGATCTATGTAATGTGCTTTCCCCTATCCTGTTAGTACATGTGTTGAGATAAACACCAACATTTTTAACTGGAGCTGCTAACAACACATTTTGTGACTGCCTGCACATTTTACCCTTAAAGCTGCAGTAGGTAATTTTTATTAAAAATTCACTGAAACTTTTACTATATCCTGACAGTAGTTTGGCAGTTGTTTACATCAGGCCCAGTGGATTTTTGCAAATGCCATTAGGAGCACTAGGAGGAGCCAGAGGAACCTGCTTTTTTCACAGATTATCTGTCTCATTTACTACTGTCAGGATGTAGTGAACGTTTCAGCAAATATGACAAAAAGTTATTGTCATGAAAGTTACCTACTGCAGCTTTAAAAATATTATTATCCCACCCGCCTATTGGAAAGGCTCTAGAAGACCATAAAACTCAAATAGCTAAATAACTAACATAAAATGTAATACTTCTATAATAGTAAAAGTAAATGAAACTTTATTGACCTAAGAGTTGCTTTGTATATGTCTGTGTCAATAAGAGCAGGGTGTTGATTGGGACCCTCTGCAGCAGTACAATGTGCTGGAGTGTTCCAGTGTTTGAGGTTTTGTCCGAGCTGCCCGCACTCTGCCATTTCCAGCTCTGTGTATAAATAAACAGCGCTCACGCTGGCTGCGCTCTGATTGGACACCATGTAATGAGCTGTGAAAGGCCAGTCAGCAGTGTCACACCATGAACACCCTCCTCCATCTAATTAATACCAGACCTCAACACACATGACATGCAACATGACAGTCACCTTTTATCACTTTCTGTCCACATGTGGCTCCTCAATTGGGTAAACAAATCCCAATACACATAACATAACATCTGCACATTCTGTGTGTATAAATATAACATTCTATAGTATAGTTATAGTTAGTATAGTTTCTTTAATGCATGTCTGGACATCTAGACACTTTCTCTACTCTGTGACCTTCTGTTGTTAATGTGTAAAAGATGCAGGAGGAACCCATGCCCTTACTTCAACCATGGTTTTTAATATCTGCTGTTGCAGGTTTATAAATATATCGATTGTGTAGCATTGTGGAGAGTGCTGGTAGTGTAAAACAAAAATGTTCCACAAAACTACAAAGTTCAGCTCCTCTCCAATATGCCAAAATGCAGAGAAAGTTCCAGAGTTCCTGAAAAGGTTCCTTTGGAGCAGCGGTCCCCAACCACCAGGGTCATTTGGTACCGGGCTGCACAAAAAAACAAACAAAATATATATATATATATATATATATATATATATATTATTGATGATCAGAGTCTGAAAGTTGTTTTATTTTGAAAAATTCTCTCCCAATTACATCCATCTGTGCATCTGTGTCTCTTGACACAGGTTGAGACAGGTCAAGACGCTGGTCTCGGTCACATGATATGTTACCCCAGTTCAGCCCTCACGCTAGCAAAAATGAGTTAAAAACAAACTTCTTCGTCTTTGGAAAGCTTCTTTGGAAAGGGGAAAAGGCCCAAATGAGGAGACAGAAGAAGAAGAGCCAACGACTTCCAAGAAAAAGAAAGCTGCATTTAAAAGACAATATCAGGAGTCCTATTTAAAATATGGATTTAACGCCATAGGTGATTCTCACGCGCCAAGCCCGCTCTGCATAATACGTGGCGACAGGCTAACAAACGAGTCAATGAAGCTTTCAAAACTGCTTCGGCACATGGAGACCAAGCACCCTGCATTAAAAGACAAGCCTTTGGGCTTTTTTGAAAGAAAAAAACGTAAACAAGAAGGACAGAAGCAAGTACTGATGGCTACCCCATCAACAAATGTGAGTGCACTGAGAGCATCATTCTTAGTGGCTAACCGTATTGCTAAGGCGAAGAAACCTTTTACTATTGGTGAAGAATCGATCCTGCCCGCCACTAAGGACATTTGCCGTGAACTTCTAGGAGAGGCCACAGTTAAGAAGATAGCACAGGTTCCTCTTTCGGCTACAACCGTTACTAGGCGAATTGATAGCAGAGGACGTTGAGATAGGGCTGCTCGATTATGGAAGAAATCAAAATCACGATTATTTGGGTCAAAATTTAAATCACGATAATTCAAACGATTATTTTTTTAAACTTCAGAAACATGCTGCATTTATCGGACATTTGTCAAAAACACTTTGCAAGGAAGTCCTCAGTTACACTTTCCTTTCCCCATAAACATTTGTGAGTCTCCGCGTTACCTGTTCAAACGAAAACAACGTGACAGGAGAAGACTGCAACTAATGTCGCGACCACCGGAGGCAAATAGAAATAGTTACAGCACTCCCGTGACTTCACCTTGTCGCGCGACAGGTCGGGAACGGCGGGTATACCGAGCGCATGATGTGCAGTGCTTGCTGCGGGGCAGGGACGGAAACACGCATGCGCGAAATATGCATGTTGCTGGCAGTGTCCCAGTTCAGGGGCTCAGCTTTTTTCTATACAATGTTGCACAACAGAAAATTTTAAAAAAATCGTTTCCCTCCAATTTTATTAGTTTTGAGATCGTTTGTTCCCAAAATCGTAATCATGATCAAATTAATTGACGGCATATGCACGGACGGAGCTGCTGCTATGACTGGACAGCTTTCTGGATTAACTGCTCGGGTTAAGGAGGTTGCACCTGAATGTGAGTCATTCACAGGGAAATGCTGGCTAGCTAAAAAAATGTCACCTGAATTTAACAGCATATTGAATGATGTTGTTAAAGTTATTAACCACATCAAAGCACATGCCCTTGACTCGCGTCTGTTCGAGCAGCTTTGTGAGGAGATGGACGCAGAGTACAGACGCCTTCTCTTACACACAGAAGTAAGATGGCTATCTAAAGGGAGATCGTTGGCCAGAGTTTTTGACTTACGAGAGAAATTGCAGAGATTTCTTTCAGAAAAAAAGTCACCACTGGTAGCACATTCCAGTGACAAGGAATGGGTCGCAAAACTCGCTTACTTGTGCGACATATTCAAGGTGCTCAATGAACTCAATCTGTCACTTCAGGGGAAAATGACAATTGTCTTCAAGATGGCAGATAAAGTCGCTGCATTTAAAGCCAAACTGGAATTGTGGGGACGGCGAGTGAACAAAACAGAGGGATATTTGACATGTTTCAAACATTGGCAGGGATTTTGGAAGAGACTGAACCTGAACCGCCATTCTCCCAGCTGGTGCACGATCACCTGTCTTTGCTTTTAAAAGAGTTCGAGCGGTACTTCCCAACCACAAAAGACCCACGAACTGCGAAAGAATGGATCCGCAATCCATTTGTGAACAAACCAGGTGAATCGAGCCTGTCCGTGCCAGAAGAAGATCAACTGCTGGAGATTGAAAATGACGGTGGCCTTAAAACTATGTTTGAGACAACAACTCTGTTGGTGTTCTGATTAAAGTCAAGGCAGAATATCCTGAGATCGCCACAAAAGCACTGAAAACCCTGCTTTCCTTTCCAACATCCTATCTTTGTGAAGCGGGGTTTTCTGCAGTCACAGCAACCAAAACAAAATTATGTAATAGACTGGACATAAGGAACACACTTCGGGTGTCATTGTCTCCCATTACCCCTAGATGGGACCGGCTCGTTGCGGAGAAACAAGCTCAGGGCTCCCACTAATTCAGCGTAATGGTGAGTTGTATTTTTATGCACTTTATATTTGTTTTTATGCTGGTCGTATCATTTTATTTTGTCGTATTCATCCCCCACACCTTGAAGGTCGGTCCGTGAAAATATTGTCTTACTTGAAACCAGTCCATGGCGCAAAAAAGGTTTGGGACCGCTGCTTTGGAGGACATGCAGGGAAAGTTCTAACCTTGCTATGCAGGTGGTCTTGCACAAGGCTTCAAGCACTTGTGTCCAATTGCAGTGGTTTGGACCAATCAGTGTCCTATGAGGAAACACCAGCAGTTACAGCATGAGCTTAGGTTTAACGCTAGGTATGTGTGTCGACAACAACAATGGTGGCTGCTAAAGAGGTTAGTGTAGATGCTGCTAGCGCCAGTTCTATCAGAACTGAGAGTATTTCTGCATTGAAAGAAGAGCAAAGAACGGCATCTGTTGTAAAGATGTTTTCTATCTTGAAAAGAGTTTGACTACGTTATACAGTTCATTGATCTGATTGGTTGAAGTTCGCCTGTGATAGGAGATAGACAAAGGTTTTTCCAATCAACTGCAAAGTAATTTATGAAAGTGCCTGTCCTTTTGGGTTGGCTGTGGCTCAGAGGCAGAGTGGGTCATTTCCTAATCAGAAGGTTGTGGGTTCAATCCCCGGCTCCTGGTGCCACATGACAAAGTATCCTTGAGCAAGATACTGAACCCCAAATTGCTCCTGATACCGTGCATCAGTGTGTGAATGTGTATGAATGTTAGTTTCTGTTCGATGGGCTTTGCCATCACTGTGTGAATGTGGCACATAGTGTAAAAGTGCTTTGAGTGGTCGGAAGACTAGAAAGGCGCTATGCAAGTACAGGTCTATGTACAGGCTTTTATTCTACATCTCATGGTCTACATTCAGCTCTTCTTTGAAGACCTTTAGTAAAGTCTCTAAAAGAACAGGAGCCAGAGCCTTCAGTTACCAAGCTCCTCTCCTGTGGAACCAGCTTCCAGTTGTGGTTTGGGAGGCAGACACCCTCTCCACATTTAAGAGTAGGCTTAAGACATTCCTCTTTGATAAAGCTTATAGTTAGGGCTGGATCAGGTGAGTCCTGAACCATCCCTTAGGTACGCTGCTATAGGCCTAGACTGCCAGGGGATTTCCCATGATGCATGCATGAGCTCCTCTCTTCTTCTCTTTCTGCACTCATTCATGTTCCATTAATGCATGTTACTAACTTCACTTCTTCCCCGGAGTTCTTGTGCTTTCACGTCTCGCAGGTTCTCATGGATCCTGGTAGAGCCTCCTGCCATGGTCCTGCTAGACTCCCACTGCTAATATTACTGATATTATTGTTATTATATTTATTAGTATTATTATTACTACAGTTAATATTATTACTATAATCACTGCTCATTGTCCCCCATCGTTGTTGTCGTCGTCATCATGTTCTTCATCCCCGGCTCCTGGTGCCACATGTCGAAGCATCCTTGAGCAAGATACTGAACCCCAAATTGCTCCCGATGCCGTGCATCAGTGTGTGTGTGTGTATGAATGTTAGTTTCTGTTCCATGGGCTTTGCCATCACTGAGTGAATGTGTGTGAAAGGGTGAATGTGGCACGTAGTGTAAAAGCACTTTGAGTGGTCGGAAGACTAGAAAGGTGCTATACAAGTACAGGTCCATTTATCATTTACCATTTCATCGTCATCACCATCAGTTACTACTGTTGTGTAGTTGTTGCTATTGCTTTGCTTGTCTGTCTCTGTCCTTTCTGTCCTTTCTGTGTCTCTCTCTCTCTCTCTCTCTCTCTCTCTCTCTCTCTCTCACGCACCCCAACTGGTTGAGGCAGACGACCACCCACCTAGAGCTGACGGGTCTGTCCTAGGTTTCTGCCTCTTTGAAAGATTTTTTCCTTGCCCCTGTCGCCAAAGGTCTTGCTCATGGTGGTACTGTTGGGTCTCTGTAATTAATGTTATAAAGAGTTCGGTGTAGACCTGCTCTATTTGAAAAGTGTCCTGAGATAACTTCTGTTATGAATTGGCGCTATACAAATAAAATTGAATTGAATTTAAAAATTAAACCGAGTACTATTATTTTGTTACACCGTTGCCAAAGGTCAAGAATGAACTTCTATGCCAACAGCTTTCTCTTGTGTGTTTTTCATAGGCAACTGCATGGCCTGACAATACACAGTTTAAAAGACCTGTGTGTACGATTGTGGCACCTAGTGGTGAAGTTGCAGATTGCAACCAACTTGAAAACCACTCACCTGTGCCCCCCCCCCCCTTTAATGTTCACCATCAATGTAATAATCACATAAACATAAGACTTGTGTTTTTGTTACCTTAGAATGAGCTGTTTTTATATACAGATGCTGCAGGTTGCTGACACAGCTGAGAGCACACACATAGGTTCACTGTACTTTACAGTAGACTCACACAAACAACACTCTGTACATACAAACATTACTGTGATGCATTCACAGTCACCCTGACAATAACACATTCAGTAAACATGTTGGGTTTGTACAAGACCAGCTGTGCAGTGTAAATCTGAACTGTTTTGTTTTAGCTTAAGTGCTCAAATTAAATGTGTGTATGTTTGCATGTGAGCACACAAACTCCATTGCAACACAATTCCTACTTTGCATAGGTGTGTGTGTGTGTGTGTGTGTGTGTGTGTGTGTGTGCGTGCGTGCGTGCGTGCGTGCGTGCGTGCGTGCGTGCGTGCGTGCGTGTGTGTGTAGAGGGGGCGGTGGCTCTTAAGTGAGCCTGTGATGCAGCTCCACTTCCTCCTGGATTAAGTGTTAAAGTCAGGGTGGTCCCAGTCTGGGGGTGGTAATCCTGCTGCTGTGTACAAGTCCTCCTGCCAGTGTTCGTATACACACACACGCACACAATCATATACACACAAGCCCCATGAGACTGCGAGTATTTATTTACAGTTGGTGAAAGCAAAGCTTGCAGAGATGTTGAAAAGTTCTGATGAGAGCAGTGCTCTGAGGGGCCAGCCGCCTCGTTAGCAAAGAGCCGCGAATGACGCCATCTTCTGCAGGACTGGAAATGTTTCGTCTGTCGGTTTCCAGAGAATGTGCCGCAACACACTCATATTAAACATAAAATAAATATTTGTTTCTGTGTACACTACTGCGGTGTATTTGTGTATTAAATATTCAGAAATAATCTCATTGTTTGGGTTGAATATCCAACAGGTGGAGAAAAATAACCACAGTAAACCAACCAGTGAGTATGAATGAGGGCTGAACATACTGAAAACGAATAGAAATGTTGAGGATTTATTTCTTTTCATATTCATTTGTGATGTCTGCTGAGTTTTTAACGCAACACAAGATTAAACTAAAAAGGAAGTTAACTGGGGTTTTAAAACACTTGCTTCATGTCATCCTTCTTGTTGTAACATTATGTAATCAGGATATAAAAAAAGGAACTGTAATCCACTACAGTTACAGGGAAAAAAAGCATAATCAGATTACAGTTACATTTAGTAACAATGGGAATTATTAGCAGGATAATCAGCTTTCTCTGTGAACGCGGTGGGAAGTACAGAAATGTTTTTGGATTGACTTTATTTATTATTATATTGATTCATCTCACACTGATGGAGTGTGCAACTCTGGGGCAGTTACTCTTTAATAGTGCTCTGTCCCTGCTAAACAAATAACCAGATAAAATAAATACTGAGGAAGGGCACCTTTTTGATGCTATAAAATCCTCAATTTTCTTGTCTACAGTCACATTGTTCTGTTGTCTTGTAGAATACATAAATCTTTTCTTTTGTCTTCATTTGCATATGATCCAAAACTAATGGAAAGTAATCAAGTTTAATATTGTGGTACTCTGATTAGGGTTCTGACTACATTTTTTAACAAGTAACAAGTAATTGGAGGGAGCAGGTTCTCTTCTACGGAGTCCGCCATATTGAACCACCATGTTTCTACAGTAGCCCAGACCGGACAAACACTGGCTGTATAGATGTGTGCTTGGAAGGGGAGGGTGAAGCAAGGGAGTTGAAATCTGCAACTGCACCACTAGATGCCACTAAACCCTACAAACTGATCCTTTAATATAACTGTTTCTGAAAGTCATAAATGCATAAATGATTTGATGAAAAGATATGTGAACTGAAAAATGATCTGGTTCATTTTGAAGGGTTTGATTTTGAAAGGAGTATAAAAGGAGAAAACACAAACATCTAAGATTTATGTGGTTATCTGAATATCAGAATTGTTTGTTTTTGTTACCTTAAAATAAGCTGTTTTTATCTACAGAGGTCCTCTTCCATGGAGTGTGTCTGCTCGAACGGGAGGATGAGGCAATGGAGTTGCAATCTGCAACTACACCACTGGACGCCACAGGATGCATATGACTGTTAGCTGTGAACTTTCAACCAAAGACTGAATTGGAATAACTGTATAATCAGCACAATGAGGTTTTCTTATATTTCACAAGAAAAAAGCAAATGTTGGAGAAAAATCTGTGGAGAAAACAAACCCAATTGTGTGTGGCAGAGTTGTGTTGTTTTCTTTTCTGTTTATTTGGTCACTAAAGTTGCTGCTGCAATGGACCACTGCTGGACACGAGTCTCTAGCTTGTCCCTGCAGAGTCGAGTCTACCGGGAGACTCAGCTCACCTGTCAGTGAGACAAGCCGGCAGCAGTCAGCCAGTCTCTCTCTGTCCGTTGGCTTCCATCCTGTTTAGTTTGTCTTCAGAACCTTTCTCTGTTAGTTATGTAAAATAAACACATTTTTAGTTACATCTCATGTGTGGTCTCTACCCTCCTTTCTCCAGCCTTGAGCTAAGGATGAGGAGGATGAGGAGAATGACATGTTGCTTAGTTATTTATAGAAAGTTAGTGTTGCCTTGTAAATTATTAAATACATACAAGTATGTGTGTGTGTGTGTGTGTGTGTGTGTGTGTGTGTGTGTGTGTGTGTGTGTGTGTGTGTGTGTGTGTGTGTGTGAGTGACTAAATACATTTAGGCAACTATTATGTAAATACCTTTGTATTCATTGTATCATTTGACTATTATCACAGTGTTTTTTAAATTCCCCTTGGTTTTATCTCAACTGTGTCATTTACTGTTGGACATTTTCATTGCACTTATTTATTGTGATTTGTGACATCTTCTTTTAGGTTATGGCTGTTAAATAAAATATCCAACAAGTGATAGAGAGAAATATTAAAAAGATGGCTTTGTAAACATGCACTATCAAAGTAGCAGTCCTGATAAAGAAAAATACTTTTGCTTAAAAAGAACATTAAGGGGGAAACCTTAAAAAGGGTACAAAAGGGGACTACTACAAAACTCAAAGAATGTAAATGCTCCACTTGTTTGTTTCTGTGGGCCTTTATTTGGCAGAAAAGCTGAGATAATTACACCCATTAAGGAATAACTTATTTGTATTCATTCTTCCACCAGAGCCACTCTGACCTCCTGAAATGTATGTAGACCGTTAACCTGCAGGGCGTCCTGGTAGCTCACCTGGTGGAGCTGGCATCCCGTATACCAAAGCTGAGTCCTTGCTGCAGTGGCCAGGGATTCGACTCCAACCTGTGGCTCTTTGTTGTGTGTCATCGCCTCTCTCTCTCCTTTCCTTCCTATCTTCAGCTGTTGCTATCACTTAGAGGCAATAAAAGCCCCCCAAAGAAGAACCATAACTCGCATACAGATCAGTGAAATGTAAGATGAAAGCCAAATAAAGTGTAAAGTGTTCCGTCATTTCATCAGAAGCCTCCAGAAGCTTCATGTCTCCTCATCACTGGAGGGATGAACAGGGAAAATATACAATATAGCAACCCAGTATCATGCCAAAGCATGTAATACACACGGTGGTCCACTATGTCAGTGTTACATTTTGAGCACGTTTTCATTTTGTGGTTAAGTTAGCAATAAGGATCACAAGGTGTTGTAAACTTATTGTATAATTGTTTAAAGTATATAGCTATACTTAGTTCTAAAATTGTCAAGAAATTATAATAATCATAAAAATAAATATGACACTTTTGAAATAAAGCAACTAACTAACTAAGTATACAAATTACTGTACTTAACTTCAAATACCTGAACACTGACTAGGCCTCCTGGGTGAAAGTCCTGTGTTTGTTTGATACATACACCCCAACCACCTCGGTCTGCTACCTTTTTTAAATGAAGTGGCGTCTTTAATTTTATTCCATGCATACAGGCAACGTGCATTGCAACATTTAGAAAATAATAGAAATTGTAATTATAAATGAGACCACTTACAAGAACACTGACATCTTTATGAAAATATTCACTTCTGAGTTATAATCATATCTACAGCCATGAGGTGCACACTTATCGCTAGGGTTCCACTGGTTAAGCAACCGCGTGCCTAAGGTTGCTGACCCCTGGTCGAGTGGATGGACGGATCTATCACATGCTTTGGTATAAGACTGGACTGAATATAGTACAATGCAGTTGCAAAGTGAATGCACAAACTACGGCCTTAGAAACAACCACTGAGTTTTACTGACACAGTGTCAACACAAGCTGAATATGACAGTCTGTTTACCTGGATTTCATTTAAGGATTTAACAGGTGTCCATGTTGGTGTACTGTATAACCATAAGCACACATGTACTGTCTCTCTGTGTTTGTGTCCAAGTTGTAAACAGCATCAGTCCTGATCTGGAGGACATTTGAGGCACATAATGATGTATAGAGCTCTTTGCCAGGAAACCTAACTTGATTAGCAGCTAATGTGGCCTGAACCAAGCCCATCAATCTTCATCATGGCCCCGCCCTCCCCGAGTGCTGAGTGTGTATTTGGACAAGCGTAGCCGGTTTATGTAGAGAGTGAAAAAATATAATAAACACTTGGATTAGGAGCCCTTTTGAACCAGCAAGCTCCAAACTGTGTGATTTAGCACTGAGCTGGGACTTGATTGCACATGAAACGGAGGCGACGACACTTTCCAGAGTTTCAGCTATATTTCTCTCTCTCCTTTCGTAGAGGCTTCTGTCTAAAAATGAGTCATGATGAAGATATTTAACGTCAGCTCAAAATGCTCTGAACTAATCTGCAGTTATACCCC